TAGGCTTAGGCCAATTTTGCATTGCTTCCACTTTACTAGGATCAGTAGACACCCCTAAAACAGAAATAATATGGCCAAGGTATTCTACCTTGGTCTGCCCAAAAAAACACTTGGACAATTTTGCAAATAATTGATTCTTTTGCAAAACTTCTAAAACTGACTGTAAATGTTCAACATGGTCTTTCATATTGCTGCTATACACCAAGATATCATCAAAGAAAACTAAAACAAACTTCCTAAGGAATGAATTAAATAAATCATTCATAAGAGCTTGAAAGGTAGCAGGAGCATTAGTAAGGCCAAAAGGCATTACCATAAACTCATAATGGCCTTGATGTGTTCTAAAGGCTGTCTTGTAAATAACTTCAGGGTTAATTCGAATCTGCCAGTAACCTGATCTCAAATCAATCTTTGAGAAATAAATTGCCCCATGCAATTCATCTAATAAATCCTCCACAATAGGAATAGGAAATTTGTCCTTGACAGTCAGATTGTTGAGTTGCCTATAGTCCACACAAAATCTACAAGTGCCATCCTTCTTTTTAATAAGAAGACAATGAGAGGCAAAGGGGCTCCTGCTAGGTTGAATAATAGAAGAAGTAAGCATAGTAGCTATCTGTTTCTCAACCTCAGCCTTCTGATTATAAGGAAATCTATAAGGTCTTAGATTAACAGGTGTGGCATTAGGTTTAAGTGGAATAGCATGGTCATGAGACCTCTGAGGAGGTAGACCAACAGGTTCAGCAAAAAATGGTCTGTATTTATCCAGTAGGTGTTGGATTTCAGTAGGAATTGAAGAAGAATGCCCTGTCATAGTCAATAGGACAATATGTCCCATAAGAGCATAATCCCCTGCACTCATTTTAAGTAATGTAGCCCCTGAAATTTTTTGTAGTTCAATTGAGGGTTATTGTCCCTGAATACAAATTTGCTACCCTCCATGGTCAAAACTTAAAGTCATGTTATTGAAACCCATTAATATTGGACTGAATAATTTCATCCAATCCACTCCTAAAACCATGTCATTGCCTCCCAACTTGAGCAATCTGAAATCATGTATAAATGTATGGCCTTGCATTTGCCATTCCACTTTGTTGCATCTAGATGAACTAAATAATTGTTGACCATTAGCCACAGTAATAACCAAGGGGAAAGGAGTAGTAATTTGGATACCAGCATCAGCCCATTTAGGAGTAAAATAACTGTGTGTACTCCCACTATCTATTAGAATATTCAATGGTCTGCCCTGAATAGCTCCCTGTATTCTCAGTGTAGTATGACCAATAGAGCCAATAATGGAATTCATAGATATTTCCAATGTTTCTTCCTCTGCTTGTGGAGACTGATGTGAGTCTGTAGGAAAAATTTCTGCTGAGAAAGTGTCAACTTCCTCAGTAATCATATTTAGCTGACTGTTTTTACATTGATGACCTGGAATGAATTTTTCTCCACATTTAAAACAGAGGTTATTCTATCTTCTATACTCAATAAGATTCTGCTTAGAGTTTGGCACTGCTGTAGGTTTTGTATTTACTGGCAATGAAACTGATTTAGAAATAGTGATGGGGTTTGGGTTGGGTGGGAATTTAAAAGAAGGCCTCAACCTTCTGTTCTCAAACTCCACAGACAATTCATAGAGCTTAGCTTGCTTACATGCTTCAAACAAATTCCTAGGATCCAAAGCTTTGATCCTATGCTTAATATCATCCCTGAGTCCACTAATAAAGAGTGACACAAAAAATTCTTCAGTCAAAATAGGATTCTGTAGAAGCATATAAGGTTGTAGCTCTTCAAACTTCTCCTGATAATCCTCTACAGACCCCTTCTGTATCAACTTAGTAAACTCCTCTACAATATCAGAAAAATACATGGTGTTTCTGTATTATATACCTATCAAACCATATTTCTGCTTTACCAGTTAAATACATAGTGGCTACTTTCACTCTTTGTTCCATAGGCACACTGCAAATAGAAAAATACTTCAAACATTTCTGGATCCACCCTCTAGGATTAACTCCTTCAAAGAAAGGAAGTTCTATTTTTGGTTTGTGCCACATACTTCCTGAACTGTTAAATGAGCCCCATGTACCCCTTTTTTCAGCTTCTAGTCCCCACATAACAGGTCTAGTGTTATTGTTTTCCCTCATTTGATTCTCAGGCCTATCACTGTTCCTAAGGGCTAAACAAGCATCAGGTTTATCCTTCAAAATTCCAGGTTCATCCGTTTTATAGTTGAATCGTGATTTATCCTTCACTACAGTCACCAAAACAGGATTTTTCCTCTCCATTTTTAGAGCTATTAGGAGTGCATACCTGATCACCTGCAGATTGCTCTTGTTCACCATTTCTGCCCGTTAAGATCTTCAAAATATCCTCCACATAGCCATGATTCGTGTTCATCCTTGCCTCCAGTGCAGTAATCCTATTTTCCTGAGTCTCCCACCATTTAGGTGGATTTGTCTCATTTTGGCCTTGTTTCACCAACGCAGCTAGATCCTCAATCTGTTTCTGAATCCCAGCTAAATCAGTTTCTGCCATAGATTGATTCTTCTTTGGCATGCCCTTAAAAAATTTCCCTTACCAGAATCGTAGCTCTGATTACCAATTTGTTATAGATTGAAGAGAAATAGAGAAGAATTCGAGAGAAAGATGAAAGAATAGGAGAGGATTCAGAGAGAAGAAAAGTTCATTCATTCATTTTCTGAGCATAAATTACTACAAGCATGGATTTTTATTTAGTTACAAAAATAGTACTGGGAATCTAAATTCTGCCAGCTGGCATTAATACTAACAGATTGCTAACAGACTTGATTTGTATCATTTCTCTTCTCAGCCTGCATTGGGCCATCTGATCTAGGCCGCTCCATTGTGCTTCTGGACTGCTCCAACTCAGCCTGCTCCATCTCGTCAGGTAACTTAATCATCTGACCCTCTTTTGATTTAATTCCCAATTTACAATTTTCAATCCCTAATCCTCGAGCAACCATCCCCAATTCCTCCCCTCTCTCGTCCATTCCCAATCTCTTCTCTCCTCGCCGTTCTTCTTCTCTTCGCCGTTCTTCTTCTCCTCCGACCATAACAATGTGGCAGCGAAAATTTAGTGTCTACAATAGGTATTATGTTTGTATTTTTTATTAATAATATATTTTTATCCTCTTAAAATTTTTTGAATTTGTCCCCTGCCATTCAATTATGTGTGTTTTCCTGTTGTCAAATATTATTACTATATATGTTGTAGCGTTTACTCTGTTCTTGTTCTAAGGTAGTGAAATATTGTTCTAAGGTAGTAGAATTGTCTGTCAATACTTGTTGATAGTAACATTTGGATTATTACAACTTTAGATGGTTCATTCCTTTTGATTTGGACAGAAAATCGTAGTCATTAGGCTTATGAGCAATGACTAGTTGAAGATTATAAACAATCTTTTTTATCTCTTGATAGGGAGAGAGAAAGAAGAAACTACCTGTCATAAGAGTTCATATACTAATCTTTAGTGTTGGTATCATGAGTAAGACCATGATGATTGCTCATATGTTGACAGACTACATAGATTTGTTGTCAAATAATGGATTACAAATTATATGAACATGTTTTTAGTCATGTTAAAATGTTATAACAAGCCAAGAAATATAAGTCTCTGGAGAAGATCTACGAGAGATATAACAAGACTCAATCCTCATTTGTTCAAGATCTGGTCTGAGCAGGGATAATATTCTTCTGTCTAACAAATGGAACACGGGGATTGAAACCAGAAAGTCTGGTAGTGAAAGAAGCATCAAATTAAGGAGTTGGGTCCCCCCACCCCCAAGTTGAAAGGCTTAGATATCTAAGCTGCCACAAGAGAAACAAAACTGATATCCATTGTTGTGGTGTTTCTTGGAAGGCATGAAAGAAGAGAACAAGGAGAAAAGGAGAGCATACTGGAATTTTCTCCTAACACAGTTTGTCCATGTCCCCTTCCCTATCTAACTTGTTCCATGCATTAAAAATTGTACTGGATCCAACATCCTCCATCAGTTATTGCGTGAGGATATTGGCTAATTGCGTTGACACTAACCAACATTCACACACAACAAATTGATGGATTTGGGGTGCAATAAGAATAAAAATAAATGGATCGTTTCCAAAATCAACTGTAGGTAAAGCTAATCAACAATAAGCATGTCTTTTGTAACTTCAAAACAAGCCAACTTTATCATTATCCTTTAGAGTATAGTTATAGTGCTTTAAACCAGTCACTGAGGCATATTATATGGTGATTGATTAGAATTGCAGGTTTTGGATTTCCTGGACAATCATATCATGCAACCGTAGCTTATCTTTACGAGTTAGACACTGTCTTTCAAGTTTTTTTCCTTTGCTGTAAGATAGTACGACGGAAGAGAGAGTTTATAATTTGTAAGTGAAAAATAATTAAGGTGAGGTTAATATAGAATAATAAATTAATAAGGCATGAAATTTAATGTAGTTCAGTCTTATTTATATTTATGAATGAGAGAAATAGATAATTCATTATAAATTTAGAGATTGTGAAGAGCATAAATACATGAAATTCTCATGTGTTTCATTACTTGATGTATATATCCTAATACTAGGTATATGTCAAAACCCTCTAACATCGTTACAAAATTCATCTTTTTAATATAAACTCCAAAAATTACAAATATCATAAAGGATTGCATATCTTCAAATTATTTTTTCTCGTAATTATAAAAACTAAAATATATCATATTGAATCCATTAAGCGACCTTAATGGTTAAAAAATGTTATTCTCTTTAATGGTTTCAGGTTCAAGCATGTATAATTGCGGCTGCACGATGTGTGTGCATTGTCAAAGGCTAAGAGAGAATAAAATAATACATTATAAACATAGAGGTAGAATTATAATAAAATATAATTTAATTATCTATATGGATTTAAATTAATATGTAATAGAAGAAATGAAAAGGAGCGAAAATGGAAAATCCATATCACTGCACCATATTAGGATGCAATACAACAATGACAAACACTTTCTGATATTAGTTTAATCATCACAAAATAGGCAAACATGTCATTTATATATACAATATATATGTGTGTGTGTATATGAATATCTAAGTGCAAAGAAAACATAGAAATGAAGCAAATGAGAAACTTGAGGCATGTGATCAGCTGCCATATTCATGCCTCATGTCTGCAATTCCTACAGATCTTTTACAATGGAGAACAGCCTCATAAATCGAGTTCTCAAGGTGACACATCGATTCACCCGCTGAACTAGCCGTCGTACTCTGGTGCGGGGATGCTCGTGGTGAGCTCCTAACTCTTTGAGTTCTCCGGTCAAGATCATCAACCCTGCTGTTTTTTCTCAAGAACCCCACCAAAGGTCTGAGATTTCCATAAAGATATCTCAACATTCTCCTTGTCGATTTCCCGCACCATCTAAGAAAGCTGCAACGAACCCGAGTTTCGGTTTTCGAAGAAAAGGGTGAACTAGGAGGCATGGTTTGAATTGAATCGAAGGCATCGCACCTCTCCCTCTTCAAAGGATCGACATAAACAGGTCTGATGAAGCCATTGGTGAAAAGCTCATCAGCATGGATAAAAACTGCAGGTGTTGTACCATCAAATTTGAAGTTCTGGTCCGTCACGTAGCCGAGTTCTCGAATGTCCGTCGACGTTCTTGGGAGCACATCTTGAGATAACCAACTGTAGGAAAAACTCTCAATGGCTAGAGATTGTGGAGTTTCCATTGGCAATAATTGATGTGTTTGAAAATTGAAAGATTAAAAACTTATATAGTGTCACAGGGACAAAATGACATAATTGGTAGATTACAGTGACCACAAGACCATGGTGACCACAAATGGCATAAAATTGTCTATCATGTCAAATTCAAGCAGGAGACAAATGGGCCAAGGTAATCTCGGCAGTTAGCAAATTTCTCTCGTTTGTTTTGAGACAAGGGATAAAACTATCAATTTTTTAACAATATTCTTTTCTCTTAAAACATTGAAATTTTTTAAGACAATTATCGGTTAACAAAAGACGAAAACTGAACAATGCCTAGCTGGTCGGAGAAGAGATGGATTGGATTATCACAAGGAAATCAAAGTTTCCCTCATTTTCTGTCAAAGCTACTTCCAGACGCATCCGGTGTATGATATTTTGCACAATCACCGTTTTAGGGCAACAGATTCTAACCGCGCACTAAAGCAATATTTTATATTATGGACAAATTTCTAAAATTTTAGGAGTTTACAAATTTATTAAATCTTATAGTACTGAAAGGGATTGTCAATAAAAATATATAAAGAAAAAATCTAAAATATATAATAATTTAAAGAGAAATTAGTTCTTTTAAGTAAGGTCAGGGTTCGAATTTTGGCGTTTGCGAATGGAGCAAATTGGATTGGGAGGGTTGTCCTCGCCTCTACAGTACCCGATCTAGATTAATCGGTTAATAGACTGGATACCAACGATTAATTCAAAAAAAAAAAAGAAACTCAAACAATTCGATTCCACTTAAAACTTTCAAATAAAAATTGAGTTATAAATTAGGACTCATCAACTTGACTAATTTAAAAAAATTTAACTCGATTTGATTCGACTTGATCGAATACTCATCCCTAACATAATAGACCATGTTGGAAGATGGTTTATATAAAGTGTGTTCAGACTGGGCAAAATCATTATATCTTAAAACAATCTAAGCCTTCTACGTTGATCCAAATCGTGAACTGGGCAAGCCTGCTATCATCCCTAATCAATCATTTGTATTTTAATCTAATATTTAATCTTAATCTAATATTTAAATCCTCCCATATCAGCTGCTTCAGTTTCACTCACTCGCACGTCGCCACGTGCCTTATATATTATGCTTCCCCAAGCGTTATTCTAGAAGAGTAAATACAAACCGCTTAATTTATTTTAAATTGATCCATCGAATTAAATGATTTCTATGATTAAAATATGATTATTATTTTTTATTTCAAATTCAAACACTAACAATTATAAAATATTTAGATATTAATTATCAAATAATTAATAATCTTTATAATAGATATCATCGCATATTAATAATAATAAAAACAAATTGATGGGGCCGGCGCTGCCATTCTTTTGAGTTTCCTTTTTAACCCCATCACCAATTTTTTTTTTAAAGAATATGAATTATATCAAGTTTTCAACAATTTTTTATTTGTATTTTTTTTGAATCTTTAATTTTATATGATAAATTGGTTAATATGTTTGTTTTAAATTACACTCATTTCATTAGTTAATATATCGGATAAAATTCACAGACTATTGTAAAAATTTCATATTCATCCACCACTTTAGAAATTGACCCACAACCTTTCAAAAAGCTTTAACATTCATCCTTTCTCGTTAGTCAACTATTAAAAATTGAGGGGGGAAATAACATTTAATCCCTAAAGTTAACATCTTTTCTAACTTAATTCTTAAACATTTTAGAGTTAATTGCATAAAAAGTCTCCAAATTATCAATCATATTTTAAATTGATCTCTACTCTCTACTCTAAAGAAACTAAACTTAGTATTTTGATTCAAACTTGAGATATTCAAAACTCCTATTTAAAACTTAACCACATCATCAAACAAATAACTTTGGATAAATTAGTCAAATGATCACATAACTATTTAAGTGATTTATATGCAGTCACCTACCATTATAAAACAAATTACTTAAGATGGGATTTCGACAAATATTAAGAGTTTAAGTGTTTAGAGACAGAAATCAAATAATCATTAGACAAATATTAAGAATGAATTCTGACATTGTACTTTTAACCTTTTTTTTAAAACGTACAAACAATTATATTTATTAAATATATACAAACTATCATTAATATTTTATATGAAATAAAATTATCAATTAATTTTTTTTTATAAATTCTGAAAATCGAACTCGTTATATTGTAAAAAAAATTAATTTATTTTTAAAGATACTATAATTGCTTTATAAATTCTGAAAATCGAACTCGTTATATTGTAAAAAAAATTAATTTATTTTTAAAGATACTATAATTGCAAGTACAAAATCATGGCGTAATCAATCATGTATAATTTTTTAAAATATTTCTTACATCTTATTTCCTTTTTATATATTTTCTAATATTTGACTCCCTTTTCCATAAAGATCATAAAAAAAATGAGGAGGTGGTCTGTCGCACGCTACCTCCCGATTAATATTCGTAATTCTTAAGAATATCCTTCACAAGCGTTATTCTAAGAGAATAAATACAAATTGTATATCTCGATTAATTTAAGAAATAAATTGATATATTAACTAAGTTATCTTAATTATTAAAAAATAATTGTTATTTTGAAAAATCTTAATTTCGAATATCAAATATTATAAAGATGTTTGAATTTTTTCTGCCAAATAATTAATAATTTTTAAAATAAATATTATTTTATAATTATCCTAAATTAAATAAAGAAAAAAATTGATGGGCGGATTTAATTTAAGGGGCCCGTGACAATCTTCTAAATTTTCTTCTTACTCCTTTCAAGATAGAAATATTTGTATATGATATCCTCATATTTTTATTTTAAATTAGTTATTAAGTTTTAAAATATGTTATCAGTTTTTAAACTATTATTTTGATTATAAATTAATCTTTAAATTTTAAAATCTTTTATACTTGTCTTCAAAATTATCATTATCTTCATCCAGTTTTCAAATTATCAATATTATTTAATTTTGATTATTCCATTAACATACTTGTTAACTCCAGTGATTAAAACAATTTAATTTATTTTTAAAGGTATAAAAATTGTATCTGTAACCTTTTAAATAAATACAAAAACATTAAAATTTTTAATTTTTAGAAGATCATATGTTTAGGTTCAGTTTAAATAGAGTAAACCATGTATTTAGTCACTTATCTACTTTCATGAATCAATTTTACTCATTAAACTTTTTTAAAATAGTACATAACGTTATATTTCGATTGGTCACTGTTAGAAAATAAATAAAACTACTTATATGTAAAATTTTTTTCAATTATGACGTGGCATGTCAATATCCCATTAATTTTTAAGGCATGTAACCAAAATATGATCAAAACATTATATTAAATTTGACTCTGGAAAACACTAAGAAAAATAGTTTGATTTTGAAAACAAAATACCTGAGTGACCAAAATAAAATCTAAAATATAAGTGGATAACTAAATATGTAGTTTACTCTTTTAAATATATGTACATTTTCTTCAAACTCCTCCTGCCGGGATCATTGGGGACACTTTCCTTCTCTTTATCCAAAATTTATTATTTTCTTTACAATCTGCAAGGTGTCGGTGGTCTTACTTTACTTCCTGCTCAAATAATTTCATTAGTTTATATTAATTTATATTTGTGGAAAATTATTAATTATAATTGATATTATTCCTGGTTTTACATCTAAGACTATTAATTATAAGGCAGGTTATATGAATCTGAATTATAAGGAGATTTTAATTTAATTATTAATCTATTAATTTATTAATCGGGTCACTTAATTATTTACATAATATAAACTAAATCAAATATCATTAATATTTAGCAGAGAACCTAATTTAACAATTAAAAAATAATATAATTACACATTTTATCATCATTATTTGTACATTCTATAAATTTGGTTTTAATTGTAATTTAATTCAATAAATTTTTAAGTTTAATTTCACAAATAATTTTATTAAATTCCATAAATATTATTATCAAATTTATCCAATAAGATAATGATATGTGTCATCATCTAATTATAAGATTAAATTTATTGGATTAAATGAAAATTATGATCAATTTGATATAATGCATAAGTAATAAGAACCAAATTGTATAATTATACTAATTTTTAACTACCACACTAACTTATCCACTAAATATTAACGAAAAATAGTTTAATCATGAATATATCGAGGGAGGATAACCGCCGCTTTAAAATTTTAAATTTTGTATATATTTTAGATAATTTTTATATTTTCTATTGAAAATATATTTTCGCACCTTAAAATTTTATAAGTTCACACCCCTTAAAATTTTATAAACTCACCTATTAACATAAAATTTTGTGTTCGCCACTTAATTTAATGAATATTATTTATATAATTTAATGATTTTATTGATAAAATTAATAGATAAATTATCTGATTGAGATCGTCTCATAATTAAGTAACCTAATTAATAAAATTAATATATCAATTATCAAAAATGAATATGTATCATAATTAAATGATTATACATATATATTACTCAATTTTTGAATAGTTTATGGTGATTATAAGATAAATTTTTTTATAAAACTTTTAATCAATTGATAACGTACAAACGACCTATATACTAAATTATTCGAACTTAAAATTTCTAAAAAATAATTTTTTCTTTTATCACTGGCCACTTGATGAGTTACATTTAAATTATTCTTAATTCTATTAGACATTTATACACAAAAAGGAAAATGAAGAAATATGTGAAATGCGTACCTAACCCCGTCGGTAAGATGAGGGTAGAGGAGAGGAGAGTCTTTTCCTCATAGCTCACATGCGACTGCAAAGCTACACGCACCATGATCACCGTTCCCCAAAATATCTTCAATTTCGTTTTTTACCCAAAAAAAAAGTTATTCTGCAATGCGGTCCACATTAAAACTCATGTATCCTACCTCGTCAAAGCTCTTAACTGCTCAGATGGTCCACAAACCTTGCCATTTTGGGTACTTATTATTATTAATTAGAGTAAATTATAATTCTGGTCACTAAAGTCTTACGATACCTTCATTTTGTCACCAAACTTTTAACATTTACATTGCAATCACTGAATTTAATATCACTTTTCTTAGTGTCAAATTAATGAACACATTATTTTTTAATAAATTAATATTCTCTAACAAGATGACACGTGTTATCATTTTTAAGTGGTCGGGAATAATTATAAAATATTATTTGTTCAAAATCTTTTTTAACCATTGATAATGCAAACAAATTGCATACGCAACTGCTCGAAGCTAGGGCCTTAAAAGAGAACAACATTCCCTTTAACCAATGAGATCATTTGATGGGTTCACATGCATTCTCATTTTTTTTATTAAACTGAGATGATTACAAATTAGTATGTTTTAAAGATTCTCAATCATTTGACAATGAAGGTTCAAACACCTCTGCAAATACTGGTGCTCGAACTCAGAACCTATAGGGACAATAACTATCCTTTAACCACTGAGATAGTTTTGTTCGTGCACATGCATCATCATATTATTTATAAAAAATTGAGTAAATATATGTAACCCTCGGTGAGGTTTAAACTTAAAACCCTTAAAAGAGTTTAGTATTTAATCACTAAGCTTAACTTAGTTATTATTAAGGTTTTGATGAAAACAATATATAATTTAAACTATGATTGATATTTATTTTATTTTATGAAAATATAATAATTATAACATAAATAAAAAATAATATAAGAATATATTAATAGAAATATATTAATTAAAACATAATTATAAAATATTACAATAATATATTCATAACATAAATTATAACACTAATTAAAAATATATTTAGGTTTAAATTTGATATATTGTTAAATAAAATAAACAAAAATATGTGATTGAAACTAATTTTATTTACTTTATGAAAATACACTAATCATAATATAAACTATAAGATAATATAAAAACATATTTGAAACATTAATTATAATATCAATTAAAATATATTAATTTTATAAAAGAATATTTATAATTCATATTACACAATTAAAAGTCCGTTGATTAACGACCGTTGGCATTAATAACTGTAATAAAAGTGATATTTAGGGATCAAAATAAAAACGCTCTAAAAATTTATAGATTATTAGTGTAAGTTACCCTATTAATCATTGTACAACATAATAATTTAAAGTTAGTAGAATTTGTACCAACAACTAATTTATTTAGTGAAATGATACAGTAAATATCTTTAAGTAATATTAATTGTTCAAATTTTAACATTTAAAAATAGAATAAATTTAACCGAAAATACTATACTGGTAATAATTTTTACAAAATTCAATTTAAATTATTTGATTAGAATATGGATACTAGTGATTAATTAAAAAATTAAGGAGTTGGTAGAAGTCCTGGGATCCAATATTTGAACGTAACGTAATGTTCACGTTTCACTGTCAAGTCTCCATATACTATTACCTCCTAATGCCTAGTGGCTGTTGTTCTAACGCGTGGGCTTCGCTGCCGTTCACCACAAACTAAACATCTCCTTGCTGCCTTTGAAATTTGTACTATTATGTCAATGGTGTTTGAATATTTCAATTTATTTTGATTTAAAATATTATTATTGTTTTCTGGTTAATTCCTCACATATCCTCACACTATCATCCTAATTTTAAGTTGGTCATTCGATTTTAAAGCGTTCAAATTAAATCTTTATAATACCAACATTATATCATTCAGGTCAAACTATCAATTCAACCATCAATTGATTTAAGTGTTAAATGATACTTCAGACATGCATAACTTGGATACGATGGGTAAAAATAAAACACAATATCAATAAAAAATAAGAAGAATGTTTTTTAATATATCAGATCTGAATTATGCCTATAATATTAAAACTTTTATAATTAAATTATAGTGCTTTGCAATTAGGAAATTAATTTATAATTAGAATCAATTGAGTAGATTCAATGGTAAAAATAATATTGTTCTCTTAAAGGATTTAGATTTGAGTAGTTGCGTATGTATGATGTATATATGTTATCGATAAACAAAGAAAAATATGAACAAATATTATCTTATAATCATATCATTCTATTAAAAAAACCAATTTAGAATAAATACAATGATTTTGAGGATGTATAATGAATTAATCCTTAATGTTTTTATTTAAACGAGAATTGAGATATCTAAGAATATTAAAAGATAAGTTAGTGGCTAAAATATCTAGTCGCGCAAAGTCTAGACTAGGTAATCTTCGATAATATCTCCGAAAAAGCTTATATAGAACATGGGTGGGAGAGGAAGTTTTTAGATCAAAACCAAACCGAAATTCTTGTTAATGGATTCTTATGGTTGATCAATCAAAACTCCAGATTTTATTGGTTTCATAATCTGTTTATTTCCGTTCTCGTATTTGTTTAAGGATTTTGGTTTAGATTCAATGGAGGGTCATCAGAGGAAATCCATTACTGCCGAAGAGCTGAAACAACACAACAAATCTGGGGATTTGTGGATCTCCATCCAGGGTAAAGTTTACGATGTTTCAGACTGGGCAAAAGATCATCCCGGTGGCGAAATCCCGCTCTTGAATCTGGCTGGCCAAGATGTTACCGATGCATTCATTGCGTATCATCCGGGAACCGCTTGGCAATATCTCGACAAGCTCTTCACCGGCTATCATCTAAAAGATTTCACCGTTTCGGAAGTTTCCAAGGATTACCGGAGACTGGTCATGGAGTTTGCTAAAGCCGGTTTGTTCGAGAAGAAAGGGCATATTGCCCTGTTTTCACTTACATCTGTAGCTTTAATGTTTCTTGTCGTTCTTTATGGTGTTTTGAGATGCCATAGCGTGTGGGCGCATCTGGGTTCAGCCATGTTGTTGGGTATGCTTTGGATGCAAAGCGCATACGTCGGCCACGATTCCGGCCATTACCAAGTAATGTCCAGCCGTGGGTACAACAAGCTAGCCCAGATCATGTCCGGGAATTGTTTAACAGGGATCAGCATCGCCTGGTGGAAATGGACTCACAATGCTCACCACATTGCCTGCAACAGCCTGGATCACGATCCTGATCTCCAACACATCCCGGTTTTCGCGGTCTCCTCACGGTTCTTCACTTCCATCACGTCTTCATTTTACGGAAGAAAGTTAAATTTCGACCCTTTTGCCAGATTCTTAATCAGTTACCAACACTGGACTTATTACCCCGTCATGATTGTTGCAAGAATCAACTTGTATGTTCAAACTTTCTTGCTTTTGTTCTCAAAACGACAAGTCCCAGATCGAGGTTTCAACCTAATTGGAATCATGGTGTTCTGGTCTTGGTTCCCTCTCCTGGTTTCATATCTACCGAATTGGCCGGAGAGATTCATGTTTGTTCTTGCAAGCTTTACCGTCACATCGATCCAACACGTTCAATTCACTTTAAACCATTTCTCTGCAGATGTATATGTCGGACTCCCGACGGGAAACGACTGGTTCGAGAAGCAAACGAGTGGGACAATCGACATTTCGTGTTCTTCAACGATGGATTGGTTCTTTGGTGGGTTACAGTTCCAGCTGGAGCACCATTTGTTCCCAAGGTTGCCTCGTTGCCATCTAAGGCAAGTTTCGCCATTGGTGAGGGAACTGTGTAAGAAGCACAAATTGCCTTACCGGAGCTTGACGTTTTGGGAGGCGAATAAATCGACGATCAGGACATTGAGGGCCGCCGCCTTGGAAGCTCGGGACTTGGCTAACCCCGCCCCTAAGAATTTGTTGTGGGAAGCTATTAACACTCATGGCTGAGGTTCTTTTTTAAAAAAAATTCTCGGCCACGGCGTAGATTTCGGCGGTAGAGGAATTCTGTTTCCTTTTGCTTTTTTTTTTTTTTACTGATATTTACTCGCTATGTTTTTATTTATTAAATACGTCTTGAATTTTGGCTTTTCAATATAATTTTCTGTTCTTCTTTGAATTGCCTTTGAAGCATATTACCGGTTAATACTTTGGTCAAATTATGTTTTTGGTCCCTTTACCATACACAATTTTGAGATTTGCTTTTTGTACTTCAGTTTGCAATAATTCAATATATCTACTTCCCTTATTTTATTAGGTAATCGTAGTAATCAAAGTACAAATGTTGATGTGGTCTTTTTTCTCTTAAAAACATTTATGTTAACACACAGAAATCCATATATCATAGTAAATTAGAAAATATGTTTTAAAGAAAAGCATAGACATTTTAATCAAGGTGGGTAATGAAAAAACTAATTGGATTAACTAACTACATCACAAAAGTGGAGTATCGAATTATATCAAGTCAGAATAAAAGGCTAGATCTTAAATTTAAATATAACAGAAGGACCAAAATCAAAATTTTGACTTAATAATGGAATTTCTAAATTTGTTTAATACACTAGTAACATTGGTTTGTTTTATATGGCGGGCCTTGAGCTAACTAGTGAAATGATTCTGTGTGTTGTTTCAATCTCTCAAAGAGACTACAAAATAACACCACTTCCAAAAGATTTAAATTTGATATTTAATTTTAAACTTTTAGAAAAATATTGTCAAAAAATAGAATAATTGATGTAAGTGTGACGATTTCATTATTATTTTCCTATCAATTTATTTTATTTGAGGACAAAACAAACATATTTTAAGTAAGAATTAATGAAAGATACCCCCATCTTGTCTCGTTTTAAAAGTCGTCCAATTTGTTAGAATGCTTTAAAATGTTCTCCCCCACGTGTTTTCACATCATTTGTTGACCTCGCAACGTGCCAAAAGCATCTTATTCTTACCTATGGAAAAATATATGCAACTTTTTGGGATTTTATTATTTTTTAATACTAAATTTTGATTATTATAATATAAAGTTTTATGTCAAGTAATGAATTATGAATCATTCAAGACGCGTTTTTGTGTGTTGAGAATGCTAAAAGTCTTCCATGATGGTTATGGCCGAGGATTATGGCCATGTCGCTGTGATCCTGGGATTGGTTTACGTCTAACCCCTTCACACTTTTTGAAGCCACGGATTCTGTACAATTGATGCCTGATGGTAACTTACTTGGTTAGAGCTGGTTTTCTTTTATTAATTGTAATGATAATACATATAATAATTTAATTATCACATCTAAACAATATTATTTTACCCAAAAATTATCATTTTTATTTATCTTGAAAAAAATGAAATTAAAGTAGAATGTTTTAAATTTTAATATTGTATGAAGAGATGATGGGATATAATTACAAGGCAAATTATATTTGTAGGGAAAGAATTCAAGTTCAAATATCAGAGGATATATTGTTGGTAGTGATAGTCAAGAATCTCGTGAGGGCGACACAAATGGACCTAAAAATTTGTTTACAGACAATAAAATAAACATAAAAAATACAAATTCAATCAATAAAAAAAAAGAAATTTTCTGAGTAAATGATTGGATAAACTACACCTAAGATTATTTAATTACGAGTTTGTAATAAACATGTTACTTTTCTTTTAAAAGATACAAACATGTCACTTAATTAATATATTATTATAAACGAGTCATTGGCTGTTAAATATTAGACATAAATAGCGATATGATAATTTTAGTTCCCAAAACTTACACAATCTACTAATTGAGCCTAATTCAAATTAACTCAATAAATTTAACTCAATAACTTGTTAAATTTTTTTGAGTAAATTTAACTTGATACTCAATAAATTTAAACATCCATTTCAATTTTAAAATGAAATAATCTATTTGTAATAATATTTTAATTGAGTAAGTGTTTGTAACTTTTAGAAGAAAAGTGACATGTCATAATCAAGTGACCTTGGGTGTAATTTACCTTAAATAATATTGGTGGAAGATGATATGGAGATGGTCCATTATCATTATCTTGGTGACCCAGACGGTCAAGCTTTCACAGACTCAACAATCAAATTCCTCGATAAAGAGAATCATGTGAGGTTCATAAAGAGATTGGTTGTACTGCAGAGCCCCAAGTTGTTTAGAAAAATTCTACTCCTATCTTCATACATAGAATTAGCAAAGTTCTCCCATATATTCTTCATTCAGCAAAGCTATCTAAGAATTGCTTGTTTGTAATGTCTCTGTGTTGTTAGCAGGGGAACAGAAAAAGAAAGAAATAATATTACTCATCTTCATTATCACCTATTTTATACACATTGCGCATCATTCAAAACTCCAATAAGAGAATTGACCAAGAAGAAAATCTCCAGCAATCCATAAACTACTGACGAAAGAATCAACTACTGAGAATCATAAATTAAAAGAAGATATTTACATCATTACCTTCGTCTCCTTCGTTGCCTTTTTGTAAAGGAGATCTATGCTCATGCAATATATGCAGACCCTTTAGCTTTGCTTTCTGCTTGACAAAGAAAGCTGACACTGCGTTCTTGCCCCTAACTGGTGCTCTTATGTTCTCACGCTTTTGGTTATGAAATAACTTCAATCCAAATGCAGTCGAAGGTTTCGATCCCTCCACCTCCTGTGAAAGCGTGACTTCTTTCATAAGCTTCATGCAACAAGTTCATCAAAGATGCATCCTAAGTGACCGTATGAATACAGATGTTCAATAGGTCATATTAAAGGCAAAGAGAATCAGGGCCTGAACAAGTTGCTCATTAAGATGTCATGTATGTATGTATTATTCTTGATTTAAACATTACCCCAATTGTGACACCCAGTGTTTGCATGAATGCAGGAGAAGCAGGAAAAGATGCTCTGCAAGAAATACAGTCACAATGCAAGTCTTGTCATCCAAAGCTCGAGTATAATGGTGATAATATGAGCTACTGATGTAACAGCCATACCCGATAACATGGAAAAGCTTAGAAGCATTGCCTGGAGGTTCTAAGCTTTTGTTGCTACACAACAATGTAAATAATTTATTGCTCTCGGCAGAACATTGAAAGAACAACAATCAAAAGAAAATACAATTATCGATCCAGTTTTGAACTGTTGACCAAACTAACCTTGCCAAAGTTTATGAAGTCCCCTTCAAAGTAGAGTTGGTATCTGAGGTTAAGTGCCATGAAAGAGGTTTCGATGCAGGAGTATCTAGACAACATTTGATAAGTAACACAATATTCAACTTATAAGAAAGTTTATTGCAAACAAGGAAGAAAGCAACTAAAAATTAGAAGATTTCTTGCCTGCTTAGAAACATGATACAGGAAAGGCTGCAGAAGAGATTTAGCCAGAAAATATTTCTGCCTAGGATGTCTGTACATGTTGAATGGAAAGGAACTTCTCGTTGACAGAATCTGGTTTAGAGGAACACAATGGAACATAACCAACAAACAGGAAACAATGGGATGCGAAACATACTAAAACTTCTACACACTAATCAGCTTCCAGGAAAAAAAAAAGGCTTCGATCAACAAGTCATTCTGGGTAAAATGTAGTGCTTGTGATGTCTTGGGATAAATGCCAACACCTGCTGCTGCCTGAGACCTTCCTTATCCGAGTATGTTTGGCAAATAAGAAGTTGCTGATATTAGCAAACTAATTACGTTCAGATATTCTTCTTATACTAGCATGTTAAACCAGAGAAGTGGAAAGAGATTACCTGATTTAAACAAGATGCTTTTAGCTCCATGGTTGACACTTCCAAGGTTTTCTGCTCGAGAAGATCCGTTAACTTGTGAGCCACAGTGCCAAGGTGATCGACGGTATTAACAAGAGCCTTTGCAGCATAATCTTTGAGGTTGTCCAATACTCCTAACAGATGCATCATGCAAAGAACAGAGTTGCATTATAAGAAGAGAACGATGCAAATAATTGAAACTTGATCAAATAACTACGCATGCAAGCTTGATATAAGAATCATCACGTAGGCAAGCCATTGATTGGCTCTTGTCTAAGTCACTCATAGTACTGCTTGCAGGAGAAGGCTATCAGCTAAGCGATGAATGTACCATGCAGCAAATTTTAAAGTGTAAACTTACATATGCTTCATTTCACTGTGATGAAATGACTTTTGGGAGTATTTTGCAGCAGCATAAAGCTGAGGCCTTAAGTTCTTGAGCTCCTTCAAGAAAAAAAAAGGCACATTGATCCAATTTATCAACTAGCATAACAATGAAATGCTGGAAACTACATATGCTTCATTTCACTGTGATGAAATGACTTTTGGGAGTATTTTGCAGCAGCATAAAGCTGAGGCCTTAAGTTCTTGAGCTCCTTCAAGAAAAAAAAAGGCACATTGATCCAATTTATCAACTAGCATAACAATGAAATGCTGGAAAGCTTTGAAATGCATATGGCCAAAAATTCAATGGTGAATTATGAGATCAACAATGAGATCAATTAGCAAACCAAATAGAAACCTCTAAGCTCGTATAGATAACACATTCAAATGCAAATGTGGTCTGAAAAGATGAAATTAAAGAAACGAACCTGCAATGCGCTTTTCCTATTCTCCATGGAAACCTCATCGAAGGTCATGGCGGGATCATCAGGCCTGGTTAATTCAACCCAATTGTGTCACTTTCTCTTATAAGTTTAGAAGGATCAAATTCAAAACCTCAAAACTAGTGATAGAACGGGGTGGGGCAGATTTGTAGCATTTATTATTATTATTTTGATATAAAGAAATCCAGGAACAAACTAAGGATTCATTAGTTAGATAGAGAATTTAACAGAACAAAATGCATTTGCATGAACAGGAGACTCGAGGATTAAAAATATTTCTACTAAGTCCATGTGTTCATGCTTTCTGTCAAAGTCGAGACCAGAAATTGACGCAAATTATCAAACGTCACCAACTGAATACCATTCCTCAACAAAGAAATAAAAATAGATACAATTTAGCCAAGTTTCGCAGAATAAAGTGCTCATCTAATTTGCAAAAGATTTTTTTTGAACGACAGTTACCCGATCATGTAAACCTCATA